GCTGTTGTGTTAAATTGCACACCCTGACATTAGTGACATTCCTTGGCCTTGCTGTTTGAACAGGAGCCAATGGAAACGTTTTTTTAAACCTGCTTCATTGCATGACTTTTTGCTGTAATTGTATATTAGCTGTGCTTAATGTGAGAGCAAAACACTATAAAATGCCCCACTTCCTGCTCATTAGGCGGGAAATGTCATGGGGTGGGATGTGGGGGGTTTTATGACTTTTTCGTGATACTGCCTCGCTGTTGCCTTTTGGTACTTGCAGGAAGTGTGCATTTTTGTACATTAGTGTAGTTGTTTAATCAAATGTATTTTAGAACATCTAGAGAGAATATTACAAAAAACACACGAGATTGTGTTAATATATGTTAATTTAGCATCGTGCATTTGCAGATTCAACATCACCACCACCAATTGATCACTTTATCTAAGAAGATTTTGCTTTAAAATATATAAAAAGGGTGTTTAGAAAATGTGTTTAGAAAAGTACCAAAGTAAAGTAAATTATTTGAGCAGAACAAATAATACTGTGTACATTTTAAAGTAGCCACTTACAAAAGAAGTCCTCTCTCCAAATTTGCTCCAGAATGTCATCTTAACCGTGTTCCTATGCCCTGTCCGCTGGTCGAACGTCTGGCAGGACTGGAAGGGGGGGCTGTACAGGTGCAAACTGACAGCGCACTCAGTGTGGCTGACGTTCTCCACACGATGCAGGCCCAGGGAATCTACACCAACACACAGGGCACACACATAAGAACAAATATACATTCAGACTGGAATGCTGTGAACACTGGAGCAGTTCCACACTATGCGCAGCTCAGATATCACACCATGGCTCTGCTGTCTATGTGAAAACACTCAGCAGTGGGTTCAGGGGAAATACCTGCAGCATATACTGTGCATTTTAGAGTTACAACTCCTCTGAGAGCATTTTAAAAACACATACGTACACTAACTCCACAGATAAATCCTATCAGCTTAGACACGTAGATGATGTTTATTCTGTTGTACTGAACTCAATATCTCGCCCCGGTAACACACTGTGAGTCTAACACTGTCATATCATATCAAATTCCGTGGATAAATACAGAGATATTTCAACACTTTAGTCCTCCAAAATGTTAAATGTTAAATGTTAAAAACAACAAAAAAAAACCTATTGTGCGCTCACCATTTATGTACGCAACCTTGTTTTCCTGCAGCACTCGCTGTGACCTCTGGACCATATCCCCACGACAATTGCCATCTGGCCACTCGAACAGCGTCTCCTTTAGCTGACCCTGCAGCAGCTTCATGAAACAGTGGGAGTTTGTGTGGTCATGGATACTGCTGCAGAATGGAAACAGAGTGGAAGCAGAGTCAAAGTGAGACCTGACTCAGGAATCTTGATGACAGTCAGAGGATAAAGCAACACTTTTTTTTTTGGTAAATTTGCTATTTATCTACAAAGGTAAACAAATGTGAACTTTAATTAGCCATGTTGCTCATCTCATCAGGAAAGGCATTATACCTTCACAGAACATGTAGTAATAAAACAACAATACTGTGCATGAAGTAGTGCATAAAAGCCATTATTACTGGCCGATAAACTTTTTCACAGTTGTTTATTGTAACACCATATTTTGGTATCTTTACAACCATTTAAAATAATTACCGCAGGACAAATCACTGTCAGCAGGGAGTCTATAAAAGTGGTTATAATGCTGAACTTGAAAGAAAGAAAGTATTGAAAAAAAAAGTACTATATTGATCCCATATTTGGGAAATTGTTGTGTCAGGGCTCTCTGCTCTCTGCTTTCAATATTTCATACATACATACAAGGCCATTTCTGCAGCTGATGAAATTAACTAATCTTTATCGGTTTCAATCTTTGCCATCTCAATGCTGCAGAATTCTAATTCACGCTGGTCATTTTAGTGAGTGGGGATGTCTCACCTCCCGTGGCCCTCACCCCAGCAGAGAATCATGAGATTAAACTTCCCATTTCCAGCATCAACCAAGTTCCTTGTGTACCTGGAAAAAAACAAAACAAAAACGTACAGGGTGATGTACAGTGCAGTGTAGTACACATGTTAATAGTACTGATAAACTGGATAAGATTAAAGGAGGCAACCAAAACAGACATGCACAACTAAAAAACATTAACCAAAAAGATTACTTTGACACATTATAATCTCTATAATCTCTCATCCACTTGGTCTGCAAACAATTCAAACGCTGCATGTTTCTCTGTTTAAGCCATTTATTACATAAGTTCCCAAATATTTACAAGGCAGCACAACACACACAACAAGCATCCATCTATGCATAATCTAGCGGGTGTGTGTCTGTCCCCGGGTGTTGATTGGTGGAGCCTGGTCACCCTCCCTACACTGACCCCTCACTCACCAAAACACTGGCATGTAGCCTCTTGGTTTGAAAACTTTGGAAAAGAACAGTTCTAGATGTATTACTGGTGCTTTTGTTCTGCTTTAACTCTAAAGTGTAGACCCAAATGTTTATTTAAGTTATTTAAATTATTTAAATGGGAATCATTATTTTACTGTGATAACATCAAACATACACAAACTCAATTCTTTTGTAAATCCAACAAAGCACAGCAAAGATCAACTATTTGTAAGGATTTCCTTGTCCCTGTCATCTATATGTGTGTGTTAATTATTACATGTAATTAGACTTAAATCTGTATTTATTTATTTACCCTTGACTTAATACCTCCCTTTTTTCACTACATTTTTAAAAACATAAAATATTAATATGTATCTATAAATATTAATATATATAATTAAAATATATCAAACATATATGTCCATTTTTATATTTTATAATAAAGGTTTTTACTTTTCACAATAAACTCTTTAAGCAAGAGCAATAAAGTGGAATAAACAGATTAGACAAATAATCCAAATTCAAACTATAGCTAAATAAATACAAATGCGAAAATGTGAAAAGTGCACCTACAGAATAAAGGATGATGAGTGATTGGTTTACAGTGATCCCTTGCTATAACGCGGTTTACTTTTCACGGTTTCGCTACTTCACGGATTTGCATCGTGCATTGTGTTCTGCATTCTGATTGGCTAAAAAGTCACTCCGCTTCTTCTCTACCTGTGCGCCAATAACGTTGCGGTTTAATATGTACACGTACGTAAAACAGCTTGCCAAATTGACATTACGTACGTGCAAATTCTCTTGCAATTTCGAGTTTATCAAACCCCATAATGTCGACAAAACGCTCTGGACCGGCAAAAGTACCTGCGGTAGGGACCAAAAGGCAGCGGAAGATGCTGTCTATCGGTGATAAAGTAAAACTATTGGACATGCTAAATGAAGGTAAAAGCTATGCGGCTGTAGGTCGGCATTATGGAATTAATGAATCTTCCGTTCGTTCCATAAAGAAGGAAGAAAAAAACATAAGGAAGACAGCAGCAATAAGTTTTAATAAGGATTCAAAAAGGGTTGCAACTGCCCGCAACAAGACCAGGTAATTTGTATTTTTTTCATAATCATTTTTAATTTTCTCCCGTTCACGGTGGGCGGTGCTAATCTCCGCAATTTGAAGCCTTCTGTTCACGTTGATGATTAAAATTATTATTTGACAGTACATTACAGAAGTTATTTGTTGAAACGTTTCTAAAGTACTTTTATTTTACTTTATTTGTGAAACAAATGGTTGAGACTGTAAAATGGTTTGTTCGTTCTTTCTCTTCTTTTTCTGAGTATTTAATTGTAAAAAAAATAAAGATTTCTACTTCACGGATTTTGCCTATCACGGGTTCTTTTTGGAACGTAACCCCCGCGAAAAACAAGGGTTTACTGTATTCACCCCCTTGGATGTTTTACCCTTTTAGTGCTTTCATAAATCAATCATGGTCAATACAATTTGGCTTTTTTAACACAAACATTTATTGGAAAAAACTCTTTAATGTCAAAGTGAAAACAGATTTCTACAAAGTAATGTCAATGAAATAAAAATATATAAAGAAATATAATTGTTTGCATAGTTAATCACCCCCTTTTTAAGTTAATGGTCTAATTCAATAGAGGTCCAAATTCTTGCCAATAGTCTCACAATTAGTGAAATGAAGATCACCTGAGTGGTGTGGGTGTGCTTCAAGTGATTGAGGTATAAAACACCTGTGTCCGAATGGTCCAGACTGGTGGATCAGTATTCTTGGTGACAATTACACCATGAAGACAGAAGAACACTCCAAGCATCTCAGGGAAAGGGTGATTGAGAAGTACAATTCAGGGGATGGATACAAACACATTTCCAAGGCATTGAACATCCCCCGGAGTTCAGTGAAATCCATTATCAAGAAATGGAAGGAATATGGCACTTGTGTGGATCTGCCTAGATCAGGCCGCCCTCGTAAACTAAGTAGGAGACTAGTGAGAGAAGCAACCAAGACCCCTACGACTACTCTGAAGGAGTTACAACTTCAGCTGCTGAGATGGGAGAGACTGTGCATATAGCAACTGCTGCCCGGGTTCTTCACCGGTCAAAGCTTTATGGGAGAGTGGCAATGAGAAAGCCACTGTTGAAGAAAAGTCATATTAGATCTCGACTACAGTTTGCCAAAAAGCACGTGGTCAAGTGGAAGAAGATTCTTTGGTCTGATGAGACCAAAATCGAGCTTTTTGCCCATCAGACAAGACGTCATGTTTGGCGGAAACCAAACACTGCACATCACCAAAAACACACCATCCCCACTGTTAAGCATGGTGGTGGTAGCATCATGCTGTGGGGATGTTTCTCAGCAGCCGGACCTGGAAGGCTTGTAAAGATAGAGGGCAGAATGAACGCTGCAAAATACACTCAAATCCTGGTGGACAATCTTATTCAGTCTGCAAGAGAACTACGGCTTGGGAGAAGATTTATTTTCCAGCAAGACAATGATCCGAAGCATACTGCAAAAGCTACACAGGACTGGTTAAAAAAGAACCAGGTAAATGTTCTGGAGTGGCCGAGTCAAAGCCCAGACCTCAATCCTATAGAGCAGGGGTCTCAGACTCGCGGCCCGGGGGCCAAGTGCGGCCCGCAGTACAATATTTTGTGGCCCGCACCTTAATATTAAAGTATACTGTTAGTGTGGCCCGTGGAGAAACTGGACCTCCGAAGAGCCAATCAGCAAGCTCCCGCGCGCCGTCCCTTGTCGGGGATAGGCTAAGCTACACCAGCTTCGTGCACTTCACGCTTGTAACAACAGCACGGCGTGTATTGAACAGCCAGACAGCAGTCGCCTTTGCGCTTGCCATCTATCGTACTTTCTACCACGAATGTCATGATCAAGCGCAAAAAGAACGGCGACTGTTACCGGGCTGTTTATCGTGTACGCTGCTGTTACAGATAGAAGCGTGTGACATGCCCCGACCGGCGGCTCGCGCTCGGGCTCGAGAGCGCAGGGAGCGCTCCGTCACAAAGCGGAAATGACGTTATGCGTTAAGACATTCTCTGTGCGCAATTAGCCAGCTAAACACTTGTTTGCCGTGAACGTGAAACAAGAGCGTTACTAAGCGGAATCAATTAGAATCTAATTTTCAATTAGATTTTGTCATACCCCAGTCATGTCTTCATCAAAGCCTGCAGTGAAGAGAAGGGTTGGTGACGAGCACAGACAATTTCAAGAAAAGTGGGAGACGCAGTATTTCTTTATTGAGCACAGGGGCATCCCCACATGTCTTATTTGCACAGAGAAACTTGCAGTGCACAAAGAATACAATGTTAAACGCCATTATTCAACTAAACATGCTGAGGAATGTGCAAAATACCAGGGGGATAAGAGAGCCAAGCGGATTGCCAGTCTTAAAGCATGTCTACTGAAGCAACAAGATTTCTTCAAGAAAGCAACCAAAGAGAATATTGCAGCAGTAGAAGCTAGCTACATGGTTAGTGAGATGATTGCTAAGGCAGGGAAACCATTCACAGAAGGCGAGTTTGTTAAAAAATGCATATTACAGGCTGCAAGTATTATCTGTCCGGAAAAGAAAAGTCAGTTTAGCAACATGAGCCTTTCTGCCAACACTGTGGCAGAGCGCATTTCTGACCTGTCAAGTGACATTTATCAACAACTGTGTGAGAAAGCAAAATGTTTTGATGCATACTCAGTCGCTCTTGACGAGAGCACAGACATAACAGACACTGCTCAGCTCACAATTTATCTCCGTGGTGTTGATAGCAATTTTGAAGTGACGGAGGAGCTGCTCACAGTAATTCCAATGCATGGCCGGACCACCGCTAATGAGATATTTCGTCAGCTGTGTGATGCCATTGAGAATGCCGGTTTGCCATGGAAGAGGTTTGTTGGAATAACAACTGACGGAGCACCATCAATGACAGGGAGGAAAAATGGACTGGTGGCACTTGTTCAAAGAAAACTGGAAGAGGAGGGTGTAGAGGAGGCCATTGCTCTGCACTGCATTATCCATCAGCAGGCTCTTTGCAGCAAATGCCTGAGGTGTGATAATGTGATGTCTGTTGTTGTAAATTGCGTCAACCAAATCAGATCCAGGGGCTTAAAGCACAGGAGGTTCCGTGCTTTTTTAGAGGAAATGGAGTCAGAATATGAAGATGTGCTCTATTTCACCGAGGTACGTTGGCTCAGTAGGGGAAATGTCTTGAAAAGATTTTTTGAGTTGAGAGAAGAAGTGAAAGCCTTCATGGAGAAGGATGGGAAGGCTGTTCCTGAGTTAAGTGATCACAAATGGCTCATGGACTTAGCTTTTCTTGTTGACATCACACATGAGCTGAATATACTGAACACAAAGTTACAAGGCCAGGGGCAGCGCGGCAGCGCTGCCTATGACAACGTGAGAGCATTCTCCACAAAACTTGTGTTATGGAAAGCCCAGCTCTCTCAGACAAACCTTTGCCATTTCCCAGCATGCAAGACACTTGTGGATGCAGGCACACCATTCAGTGGTGAGAAATATGTTGACGATATTTTGAAGCTACAGACGGAATTTGATCACAGATTTGAAGACTTCAAGACACACAGAGCCACTTTTCAAATTTTTGCAGACCCCTTCACCTTTGATGTGCAAGATGCCCCTCCTGTGATTCAAATGGAGCTCATTGACCTGCAATGTAACTCTGACCTCAAAGCCAAGTTCAGGGAGATAAGTGGAAAAGCAGACAAGTATGGGCAATTTTTGAGAGAATTGCCCCCCAACTTCCCTGAGCTTTCCTGCTCGGACTTTTACTTTTAATACTGCAGCGCAGCAATTTAGGGACGAACCGCTGATGGACTGTACCATTATGGACCAAGGTGACTGCCCGTAGAACGTATTCTTTCTAAAGTTGTGTTTGACATCAGTGAAAGGGGGAGAGAGAGTAATACTGATGTACCTAAGCGTAATGCTAGATGGTATGGAAAAACGACACCCACAGTGCACACAACATGCAGCAGGGATAGCAAAGCTAATACAAAAAACTGCACACATTGTAATGGGACACCAACTAAACATTCTGACAACACATAGTGTGGTGGCTTACGTAAATTCAGAAACTTTCACACTTACAACATTGAGACAGAGAAGACTGAGCAAGATTCTGGAAGCACCAAACATCTCATTTACACATGAAGGCATCAATATGGCGGATCACATAGGGACAGGGGAGCCACACACGTGTGCAGACAGAGTGGTGAAAGAAGAGAAGGTGAGAACAGACTTACAGGCCACACCGATTGCAGGAGCGAGAGACTTATTTACTGATGGATGCTGTTTCAGACATGAGACAGATGGTCTCAGGGCAGCGTATGCAGTAGTGGAAGAAAAGGATGGACTATTGGTAACACAGAAAGCAGAGAGACTAGGGGGACAGCAATCAGCACAAAGAGCAGAAGTGGTGGCAGTAATTGAGGCCCTCAAGATAGGGAAAGGACAGGAAGTGAACATTTACACAGACTCAGCATATGCAGTAGGAGCAGTGCATGTTGAATTAGGGCAATGGATGAGAGTTGGATTTCTGACGGCAGGTAACAAACCCATTAGACATGAGACTGAGATGAAAGAACTAGCAGAAGCATTACTACTACCAAAGAGAGTAGCAGTCATAAAATGTAAAGGACATGACACAGGGACAGACAAAGTGACAAAGGGAAACAACGCAGCTGACCAAGCAGCGAAACAGACGGCAGGGTACATAGACAAAATGATACTCATGTGTTCAGAGACTGAAATGCAACCTACAACGGACATAGACGGACTGATCAAATTACAAAACAAAGCGCCCCCACAAGAGAAAACTCTGGGGAAAGCAAACACCTATAGAATCATGTTGTGTGCTGTTAACACAGCCACCCTAGAACATGAACAAATCGCTCGACATCATGGGAGAGAGAAAACAGATCATGAGGGAGCTAAAGCTATGCTTAACACTTTACCTGACCATTTATGGGCAGACGATCCGACAGATGTGGGTCTCACTGATTGCCCACCTGTAAAATTTTCAGTCAACACAGACACTCCAATATGGATCCGACAATATCCACACAAACCTCAGGCAGAAGCGGGGATACATGACACAATCACAGGCTTATTGGAAAAGGGGGTGTTGGAACCCTCACATTCAGCCTGGAACACTCCCATCTTACCTGTAGAGAAGAAAGGGACAGGTAAATACCGCATGGCACATGATCTCAGGGCCATTAATAATATCCTGGTCACCCCAACTGTACCAGTCCCGAATCCTTATGTTGCCCTGGCCAACCTCGACCCCTCCCAAAGTTGGTTCACGTGCATTGATTTAGCAAATGCATTCTTCTGTCTGCCCCTGGCTCCAGAATGTAGGGACATATTTTCATTTACGTTTAGAGGACAACAACTAAGATACACCAGACTGCCACAAGGTTTTGCTCTCTCCCCAGGATTATTTAACCAAGTCCTGAAGCAGGTGTTAAGCGACTGCACACTTCCTGAAAACACGACTCTTGTACAGTATGTAGACGATTTACTGATTGCGGCACCCACTGCAGACGCGTGTCTAGCGGCGACTCACTCAGTGCTTCAACATGTGGCGAACAAGGGCTTTAAGGTCAGCAAGGTCAAGCTACAGGTAGCCAGGAAGCAGGTCTCATTCTTAGGACGTCTGATATCCCAAAAGGGGGTCAGTATGTCTCCAACACACAGATCTGCGATCTTACATCACAACAAACCTGTTAAAGTTAAAGACATGCTCTCATTTCTTGGACTAACAGGCTACAGCCGTAATTATGTAGCAAACTACACAGGATTGACCCAGCCTTTGCGCGAACTGGTCAGACAACAGGGCATGCGAAATCTCACAGCCAAACTTGAATGGACACAAGATGCAGAAACTGCTTTTATCACATTAAAACAATCATTGGCTACTGCTGCAGAATTAGCAACACCAAACTACCATTTGCCTTTCTACCTGGATGTCTCTGGAACAGTATCATGCGTTAATGGCATTCTGTTCCAGAGAAAAGGGGGAGAGAGAGTAATACTGATGTACCTAAGCGTAATGCTAGATGGTATGGAAAAACGACACCCACAGTGCACACAACATGCAGCAGGGATAGCAAAGCTAATACAAAAAACTGCACACATTGTAATGGGACACCAACTAAACATTCTGACAACACATAGTGTGGTGGCTTACGTAAATTCAGAAACTTTCACACTTACAACATTGAGACAGAGAAGACTGAGCAAGATTCTGGAAGCACCAAACATCTCATTTACACATGAAGGCATCAATATGGCGGATCACATAGGGACAGGGGAGCCACACACGTGTGCAGACAGAGTGGTGAAAGAAGAGAAGGTGAGAACAGACTTACAGGCCACACCGATTGCAGGAGCGAGAGACTTATTTACTGATGGATGCTGTTTCAGACATGAGACAGATGGTCTCAGGGCAGCGTATGCAGTAGTGGAAGAAAAGGATGGACTATTGGTAACACAGAAAGCAGAGAGACTAGGGGGACAGCAATCAGCACAAAGAGCAGAAGTGGTGGCAGTAATTGAGGCCCTCAAGATAGGGAAAGGACAGGAAGTGAACATTTACACAGACTCAGCATATGCAGTAGGAGCAGTGCATGTTGAATTAGGGCAATGGATGAGAGTTGGATTTCTGACGGCAGGTAACAAACCCATTAGACATGAGACTGAGATGAAAGAACTAGCAGAAGCATTACTACTACCAAAGAGAGTAGCAGTCATAAAATGTAAAGGACATGACACAGGGACAGACAAAGTGACAAAGGGAAACAACGCAGCCGACCAAGCAGCGAAACAGACGGCAGGGTACCTAGACAGAATGATACTCATGTGTTCAGAGACCGAAATGCAACCTACAATGACTATGGACGGACTGATCCAGTTACAAAACAAAGCGTCTCCACAAGAGAAAACTCTGTGGAAAGCAAGGGGAGCCACTGAGACGGACGGACTTTGGAGAGGACCTGATGGTAGGCCTATCCTACCCCCAGGACTAAGACAAACAGCAATGGAAGAGGCACATGGGGTAGGACATGTAGGGGTAGCACAAATGCTAAGAAATCTTGACCATTGGTGGCACCCTTTTCTCAAAGACATGGCTCAGTACCTGACTAAGACATGTGAACAATGTACCAAATTTAACACCAGACCTACCATCAGACCAGAACCAGGAAGGTATCCATTGGAAACAAAACCAGGAAAAGAGATCATCATTGACTACACAGACATGGTAGATTCGGTTCGAGGGTACAGGTACGTTTTGATGTGTGTAGATGCGTACACAGGGTGGCCAGAAGCCTGGCCTACGAAGAAAGAGGATGGTAAGTCGGTAATAAAATTCCTGGTAAACCACTATATACCAAGGTATGGATTCCCAGAAAAAGTAAGATCAGACAACGGGACTCATTTTAAGAACAATGACCTCCAACAGGTGGAGGCGATGTTGGGACTAAAACACTCTTTTGGTACAGTCTATCATCCTCAGTCACAGGGCAAAGTTGAAAGAATGAATCAAACGGTAAAAAACAAATTGGCTAAAATCTGTGCACAGACCAAAATGAATTGGCTAGACGCCCTACCGTTAGCCTTAATGTCAATAAGAAGTTCAGTCAACCACTCCACAGGGTTCACACCACATGAGTTACAAACAGGGAGAGCGTTTCCCGGCCCACACTCCAAACTCCCTCTCACCCAAAATGATGATCAAGATCTAACTTCTAAAGCTTATTTCCACGAACTGCAGGGTTTGGTGTCTACATTTTCAAAACAGGTGAAGGACCAGCAGACCGCAGGAAAAGGCACAACACCTCCAGAGGCAGAGTGGGTTCTGCTCCGAGTCATCAAAAGAAAGTGGTCGGAACCACGCTGGACAGGTCCATTCCAGGTAACTGAAAGAACAACCCACGCAGTACGCCTGAAAGGAAAAGGAGACACTTGGTTTCATTGGAGCCAGTGTGCAGCAGCTGAGGAACCACAACGCTCCCTGATCGACATTCAGAGAAACCTCCAAGAACAGAACACCGAGTCGGCTGACTCGGAGACAGATCCTACCGACAAAGGGGCAGAATAATCCCCTGGTAGTGATCCAAGACTCCAGGGTAGTCCACCCCTGGAGTCCGAAGAGAAGAACTCCATCCGGGAGGAGGTGAAATAGCGCTCCTCTCCTACATGTAGCGTGCCAAGCTACCACCTCAAGAAAGAAGACATCTCCCAGATGAACCTTATCAAATTAACATTGTGTATTGCATGCTGGTTTATTTTTCTTGTCATTTTTGCATGGGCCTTGTGTAAACTAGCTATCACAGGGACAACGCGCTTTTAAAGAATATAAGAACGCAAAACCATATTCATGCTACCGCTTAAGTATGAGGCCTTATTCATATTTTCACTAATAATCATCGTTTATGCAATTCTATGGTTCTACTGCGATCTCCCCACTCAGAGTTGTAATATATAACATAGCCACGGAACCCGAGGAGCTCGAACACTATCAGCTCGAAAATCTAGAAGCATACTTCTATGGTAATGTTGAACTCTGAAGAGAGTTCAAAAGGGGGAATTGTGGATAAAATATATTCATGTGTTCATAGTTTATAGAAGTATGCAACATATATAATCATGTTTTAAAAAGATCATAAGAGATGTGCTAAAACATATAACCAGCTTGAACATAAAATGCTGCTTAAAGCTAGAACTGAAAACATGCAGATGTAGAGAAGGAGCTGCGAGGTTGAGATAAAACC